AGATAGCTGCAAGACGCCCAAAAAGGCGACTTTCGCGAAAGTGAATGTTGGCAGCCCTGCAGCGCTGTTCTGACGCTTGCATAAATTGCCCGAGTTGGTCCTGAGTTACTTTTAAGTGGTTCCACATTTTATGCAAGTCACAGAGTGTGACCAAGGCAGCGCCAAGACGACCAAAAGACGATTTTCGCAAAAGTGAATGTTGGCACCCCTGCAGGGCTGTTCTGGCGCTTGCATAAATTGCCCGGGGTGGTCACTTCTCACTTTCAAGGGGTTTCCCTTAATTTATGCAAGTCACAGAGTGTGGCCAAGACAGCTGCGGGACGACCGAAAGGCGATTTTCGCAAAAGTGAATGTTGGCAGCCCTGCAGGGCTGTTCTGGCGCTTGCATAAATTGCCCGGGGTGGTCACTTCTCACTTTCAAGTGGTTCCTTAATTTATGCAAGTCACAGAGTGTGACCAAGACAGCTGCAAGACGACCAAAAGGCGAGTTTCGCAAAAATGAATAGTGGCAGCCCTGCTGCGCTGTCCTGGCGCTTGCATAAATTGCCCGAGGTGGTCCTGAGTTACTTGCAAGTGGTTCCACAATTTATGCAAGTCACAGAGTGTGACCTAGATAGCTGCAAGACGACCAAAAGGCGACTTTCGCGAAAGTGAATGTTGGCAGCCCTGCAGCGCTGTTCTGACGCTTGCATAAATTGCCCGAGTTGGTCCTGAGTTATTTTTAAGTGGTTCCACATTTATGCAAGTCACAGAGTGTGACCAAGGCAGCGCCAAGACGACCAAAAGACGATTTTCGCAAAAGTGAATGTTGGCAGCCCTGCAGGGCTGTTCTGGCGCTTGCATAAATTCCCCGGGGGTGGTCACTTCTCACTTTCAAGTGGTTCCTCAATTTATGCAAGTCACAGAGTGTGACCAAGACAGCTGCAAGACGACCAAAAGGCGTTTTTGGGAAAGTGAATGTTGGCAGCCCTGCAGCGCTGTTCTGACGCTTGCATAAATTGCCCGAGTTGGTCCTGAGTTACTTTTAAGTGGTTCCACAATTTATGCAAGTCACAGAGTGTGTCCAAGACAGCTCCAAGGCGACGAAAATGGCATTTTCCGTATGAGTGAATGTTGGCAGCCCTGGAGAGCTGTTTTGGCGCTTGCATAAATTGCCCGAGGTGGTCCTGAGTTACTTACAAGTGGTTCCACAATTTATGCAAGTCACAGAGTGTGACCAAGGCAGCTCCAAGACGACCAAACGGCGATTTTCGCAAAAGTGAATGTTGGCAGCCCTGCAGGGCTGTTCTGGCGCTTGCATAAATTGCCCGGGGTGGTCACTTCTCACTTTCAAGTGGTTCCTCAATTAATGCAAGTCACATTATGTGGCCAAGACAGCTCCAAGACGGCCAAAAGGCGATTTTCGCAAAAGTGAATGTTGGCAGCCTTGCAGGGCTGTTCTGGCACTTGCATAAATTGCCCCGGGGCGGTCACTTCTCACTTTTAAGTGGTTCCACAATTTATGCAAGTCACAGAGTGTGGCCAAGACAGCTGCAAGACGACCACAGGGGATTTTCGCAAATGTGAATGTTGGCAGCCCTGCAGCGACCTTTTGGTACTTGCATAAATTGCCTAAGGGGGTCCTGAATCAATTTCATGGGGTCCTAGAATTTATGCAACGACGAATGGCGTTTTTGGTTGGTTTTTATGTTTATATAGTCGGTTCTGCTAAGCTGAGATTTTTTTGGCCAAAATTTTTTGGCCAAAATAACACACGTTCTTTCGTGATGCACCAAACCTCTATGGACATCGGTCGTTTTCGCCCAACGCGGATTCTACGGAAAAAGAAGATGGTGAGGGCGACGGAGACGTGCGAGATGTTGACAAGGATCGCGCAGACATCGCTCGGTTCCTTCAGGCTGCGAAGTGTCCTGCATCTTACTGTGCAGAGGCCTGTTGATGGGTTTTGTTGTTTCTTATGGTGGTTGGGTGCTGAGGTTTCATGTTGCTGCGATATCTTGTGCTTCTTTTCAGTTCGCGGGCCCTTGCAGAGGATGTTGCTAAGTGTGAGGATCCGATCGCTGTACTTGCACATTATTTTAAAGATGTGGTACCATCTATCTGTGTGCGAACTCCTGCCCCGAAGAGGGTCGTCTCAAAACTTGTAAAGCAAGCTTGAAAGCAAGGCATTGAAGATCAGAAGAGAACCCAGAAATTTATTCGTGGTTTGCTCAGGTTGCCTGTTCCTGACGTACATTAAGGAATGCCTTGCTAAAGACGTTCGACATGATGTGGTGGATTGCGGATGCACTGGGTGTTGTGGTGACTCAGCATTGAATTTTCAGAAGGCAGGCGCTGCAGTATATGGACAAGCTATAGGGATCACAGTCGAAGATGGAGTGAAGATGACAAACCACTTTAGGATGTATGCTGTTGCCTGCTCTTCCATTCTGCGAATATTACCCCGGAAGTATCCAGGAATCACTTCGCCCATGCTCTATTTTGGAAGCGCACATGCCTTTTCCCCGGCTCATGTTGAAGACCTCCTGCTTTTCTCCATCAACTATATACATTTTGGTCATCCCAAAATCTAGTGCGTGCAGCCTGTGTTGCATTTAGTCTGTGTTGCATTTAGTCTGTGTTGCATTTAGTCTGTGTCATCAATTCATGTCAATACCTAATGCATCCATCTCCCTCCTTTGTTCTTCAGGTTTGTAGTTCCCCCCAAGCACTCGGGACTGGTGCATGGGCTTTTAGCTCGTTCATCAGTCAGCACATTCAACTGCAGCTGTTCAAATCTGCTCGCGCACAAATACTTCATGCTCACTCCAGACTGGCTAGTGGGTGATTCCGTGCGTAGGGGCCGTTTTAGCCACCTAAGAAAGTCAAGTAATCAATCTTGCTTGTTCGGCCGGAATTTGGCCTAGATGGCATCAATTGAACCCCAGAAAGACACTCTGAGCGTGGGCGAGCTAAAAGTTGACTCTCGTTTTCTCCCCCTATAAAATATGACGAAATTAACTGAAAATATGACGGAAATTACGCTTCACGGAAATTACAAACAGGTGTTTCTGGCTCACTTCAACTGCATATCGCCACAGAAATATGCCATAAGTTTGGCACACTAGTTCGACGTCAAGACACATCTTTTCACGTGTAGGATGTCTTTCAAAACCCAATAGACGAGGAGCGAGAGGGGCATACGGAAATTACACCAATTGTTACAACCCACCGATTTCACACACAACTTCCACTCGCACACTCACCCCCCTCACTTTTTCGCCACCGAAATTCGTTCATATGGTAGACAGACCGTGCTGATTCTGAATACGGCGGTGGTTTTGAGCAGGAAGCACTCCTAGTAGTGTTTTTGGTGCTTACTTTGAAACCGCTAAGGTAAAAGTCGGGGTACGGTGGACATTTAGTACGCGTTCTGAAAGTACAGTTCCAATCAATATACGATCTTCAAATTCAAGCAAGAAAGTCACTATTAGTTAGAGATTTGATGGGTGTGTGTGGAATTCGAAGATTTTAATGGAACGAAGGGTTATAGAGCCGCAAAGTTGGTGTAAGGTGCGAATGGACATGACGGAACTTACAAAATCGACCCTTTGGCCCCTCTCCCGCGTCACATATTAGCTTTGAAAGTCCGTATACAAAGGGAACAAGCTATTGTAGTGCCAAACAAGATTCTTAAGTGTATAAATGGACTGCACTCGAATAAGTTCGCTCTGGGGAGGGTGTGGACACGAAAAGGCCCTCTACGCGCGGAATCACCCTAGTACAAAACATGATTCCGTTTTAAGTGGTATATATATATACCGCCTCTCTAAATTCATTGATCGCTAAATTCTTTAAATTCTGCTGCAACCTCCGTCTTTAAAGAAGGGGGTAGTGTTATAAAGTTGGGAGCACATTCCTCCCCTCGCTCGCGCATGCGCATTGTACGCGGTCCTTCCCTGTTGTCGC